TGAGCTCCAAAATAATGGCCAACTCCATTGATCGTCTGTACCACACATTGGCTGTCAGTTTCTGCGACAACATGACGAAATCCTAACTCCCAGGCCCTCTGAATTTCCTGAAAAAGTCCACAAAGCTCGGCACCCGTTATGGTGTTGAAGTCAATATTTATGAGGAAGTCCTCGATCCATCGCCCGAGCTCATCAAGAACCAAGCCACCAGCCCCACTCAGACCCGTATTGCCATCATAGGCTCCATCGGAATTCACTTTAATCCAGCCTGAGTCGGGAGGGGTCCAATGAATCATACGCACCTGATACATGGCTACACCGACTCGCCGATAGGCTAAACACGCGCGCGCATACAACCCCGTTTGACGTAGGGTCTCCATTCTCTTCTGCTCGCAACTCAAAGCCCGATTATTTAAGACCCTATCATCCCGCCATCGCCATGCACCCCACACTGTAAAAGCAAAGAGACTTCCCCAGTCAGTACACGGGCCCAAGCATGCAGTCACCAGATTCTTTCGTATCCACGTTCGAAGGGACAACACGAAAAAATCGTCGAGGTTGTCAGCAGGGATCAGCTGGTGCCACAGTTGCGCCGTGCTTGGGAAATCCCGCAAGAGGTGGATAGATGACGCCGAAACTGCTCGAAATTGGTCAAGAGACGATCCCTGGCCTCCAACCACAAGAATGTACGGATTCGTTGCGACGCTTGGGTTCGCCAAATCGACTTCCAAAGCGGGGCATCCAATGAGCTTCCCGAGGACGTCAAGGTCTTGTAGGCCGTGCTAGTTGAGAAACGACCATCCCGAGAAGGAGCCCACCTAATACGATCAGCCCCGGTCGTGGCTCGCGGCGGTAGAACGCCGACAATACGCATGATAATCGCCGCCGAGAGCACGCCATGGAAGGACTCCCACTTCCAGTTACCGACCTCGTCGACAAAATCTACAACCGAATAATTAATAACACTCTCCGTCGGTGGGTGAGACACATGATGTATGAGGGGGCCGGTTGAACCCAACCAAGGGTCAAACCAAAAACGGATTGTTTCACCATTCACTAAATTCCAACGAACTTGTTTGACAATGTCAGACCACATCTTGCATAGAGCTTTCATTAGCGTCGACCCATGCTTACATTGCGGCAGGCCCACGTTAGCTGAAAGAGAAGTGCGATACTTGGCGGCCATGAGCCGCGCCCATAAAGAATCGCTCTTCGTGAGGATCCCCCATCCTAGTTTCATTAAAAAGGCTTAATACCCAAGCCGCCCTCGTCTTTAGGTCGACAAATATCGCTCCATGCGACTAAGTGTATCTTCCTCTTCACGTCAGATCCCCCGCATATGAAAGAATGGCTACGACAGTCAATCACGTCGGTAAGTGCCTTTGGCAACAGAGCAAACTTCATGGAGAAGTAAGGAAGCGAATTGAGTACAGACTGGGTAAGAGTCACCCGCCCAACTAAAGAAAGAGTTCGCATGCGCCACCCGGCTAGCCTCGTTTCCACCTTGTCTAAAATATGAGCATAAGTGGACTTATTGACACGACCATGGATGACGGGTACTCCCAGGTATCTCCCCAAGTTGTCCGTCCACTTGAAACGGAGAGTGTCCGCCAGTCGATGTTGCTCTGCAAGCGCCACGTTTTGGAAAAGAAGACTTGCGTCTTTTCCGAGCTCACTCGAAGGCCCGGACTGTGGCAAAAAATATCAAGAACTCGCTTTAGAACCCCCGCCTGCGTGTCTGAAGCTTCCACGAAGAGGAGAAGGTCATCAGCGAACATAAAAAAGAAAACTTGCACATCACCCCGACCAACGACGATTGGTCTCCATGCATTATCCGCTGCTGCTTTATCAATGAGTTGTGCGAGTCTCTCCATGCACAACACGAAAAGATAAGGAGAAATGGGGTCGCCTTGTCTGACCCCTCTGGTGGGGTGAAACTCCTCCCCTATCATCCCATTCCACAACAAGTTCATCGAAGCTGAATGCACACAAGCCATGATGGTCGTAATCAAACTATCAGGGTAGCCAACTGACCAAATGGTGTCCTTTATAAATTCCCACCTAAATTAGTCATAGGCCTTCTTGAGATCAACCTTAATAACCATATAACCTGTCACCCTTATCTTATGTCTCATGGAATGGATCAGCTCTTGGGCAACAACAATATTATCAATAATATGTCTACCCGGGACAAAGCTCACTTAGGGGGGATTGATGAGGCCCGATAATGTATCTTTCATGCGATTCACCAATACTTTCGTGAAGAGCTTGTAGATAACATTGAGCAGGCTAATAGGTCGGAAGTACCGAGTTGAGATCGCATTCTCAATCTTAGGAATCAAGATAAGAAGCGTACGGTTAACCTCCTATGGGACAGTCTCGGTGAGCCACATCTGGCGAATGAAAGCCCGCACTGAGTGGCCAATAGTGTCCCAATTTTTCTGAAAGAATAGGGCGTTTAAGCCATCCATCACTGGAGTCTTCAAGGAACCCATGCTCTGTAAGGCTGAAAAGATTTTCCCATTTGAGATATCCTCAGACATGGCGCTCACCATCTCCGTAGGGCAGCCGGTGAAGAAATTGGGCAAGCGCTCGACTATGTCTGAGCGCGGTCCTTCTGAATAGATGCCTCTGAAGAAATCCGTGGCGAGTTGTTGGAGGTGTGTTTGATCAGTGACAAGGTGTCCCGCATCATCTACAAGCTCCAAGATGCGACCCCGCCATCTCTGGACTTTAAGTTGGCGATGGTAGTAGAAAGTATTTCTATCTCCCAGATACATCCCATCACGTGATGACTTCTGAATGAGAAGCAGTTCTTCCTGCATGATAACATCGTCCAATTCCGCACGCAGTTGGGTCTTCAAATTCGCATGGCGGTCCGAAACATAAAGTCATCGGCATCGTTGTATACCGCCAATCCGTGCTAACAACCTCTTCTTTCGATGGAAAATATTGCCAGAGACTTTAAAATTCCAGTCTGTAGCCACAGTCTCAAAATTCATAGCCGCATCAAGAAAGTCAATGGAGGGTGTCCACGAGCCTTGAAGCATATCGGGGAAACCCGGGTGAAGAAGCCACGCCGCTAGGAAACAAAAGGGTTTAGCTCCTTGGGGTACTAACCGCTCACGACCAAACCCCAACAAAAGAGGGGAATGGTCGGATTGAATACGCGGAAGAAGTCAGACCCGACTTGTGTCGTACTTATCCACCCACGACAAATTGGCAACAAAGCGATCTAGTTTCTCCGTAACGCGCCGCCCAGAAGGTCCCTCCCTAACCCAGGTGAAAAGGTGGCCATCCGTAGCCACCTCTTGTAAGCTGTGAGTAAATACCCACTCAGCGAACTCCTTGCTAACATTACAGTGGCTAGAAGATCCCCCCCATTTTTTTCGAGCGATGGAGGAGACAATTAAAGTCGCCACCGATAAGCCAAGGTTTTGAGATTCCCACAGCCAAGCTATCAAGATCGTGCCATAGCCTACACCTAATCAAAAGGTTTGGGCATTTCAAGTTACAATAACAAATCATTCTACTGCTTTTCAGTTAATTTAATTGTTATATATGTATATAACTAATTGATCAATTTTTTTTCCTTAAGTATTTATGTTTGAAGAAGAAGAAGAAGAAAAAACGCGAAAAGAGAAGTAAGAGAGAGAAGGAAGAAAGAGAAGGAAAAGATGAAGAGGTAGAAAGAAGTTATTGGTTTAAATTTCGAAGTGGTTGTTTCATGTGTAATTTCTCATTGTAGCATTTTTGGAATTCAATCTATTCCTCAACTTTAATGGATTTTTTCGGTTACATTAGTCGTTATGTATTCTGGCCCACAGTTATAAGCAGTGTTCTAAAAGTCGCTAGGCGCCCGCTAGGCGCTCAATTAGCGCTTAGAGCGCCTAGACGGGGCCTAGGCGGCGCCTAGTCGGTGCCTAGAAATTAATATTAAATACCTTATTTTTTATTTATTTTAACTACCTACAAAATAAAATTATCTCAATTTATAATAAATCGACACATCTATGTCTAAATAATAAAATTAATATATTTTAAAGAAATCATGAGAACAAAACAATGTAATTAGTATTTAAAGAAATTAGAAAAAATTGGCGCCAAGCCCGCCTAGGAGCGCTAGGTCCGCCTATGCCCGCCTGGCCGCCAAGCCCACTAAATCCGCCTAGGAGCGCCTAGGCTCGCCTAGCCGCTTGACCGATTTTTTCTGCCGATTTGTTCAAATCGGACACCTTATATTTTTAGAACAATGGTTATAAGTGGTATCATATTTCCCCAAACCTGTTTGTTATTTTTTTTATTTTTTTTTTTTTTCATGTGATGGATATAAGCTCCAAAATTTGAATAACTCATTTGGTTGGTACATTTCATCATCCAAGAAATTGAATTATTTTCACGAAATAAACTTTTTCCTAAATTACCCTCATTCCATTGGAGAATCTCCTTCATTTCATCTGCGATGTGAAAAAACTCTCTCCTACGCGAAACATTGCTTTCAAGGCATCCCATACTTGATCAACCAAGGCAGGCAACAATCATCTGGTGGATTCAACACTACATTAGACGTCATCTTTCTCCATGCAAAACTCCCCAAAAGGTAAGCTGCGACTTTTATTGCTAATAATTGGTGCGATTTTTTGTTATCGCCTTCTACATTGGGTCTTCAAAAATTACACTCCCCTTGTCGATTTCTTTGGTGCTATTTTGTCCGAAATTA